ATTTAGTCAGTCTCTTCCTGTAGCCCCAGTCTGAAGACCAATCCCCTTTGGGGAAAGGAAGGGAATACTATGAGGTGCCAACTTGGATTGTCACAACTGCACTCAAGTATCATTAAGACTCTGTAGTCTCATCTGAGCCTTGAGCTACTTTGGTCATTACTATCTCCTGGGGCTTTCTTTTTTTTTTGACCAGTAAGGGGATCGCCAACTTGGATTGTCACAACTGCACTCAAGTATCATTAAGACTCTGTAGTCTCATCTGAGCTTTGAGCTACTTTGGTCATTACTATCTCCTGGGGCTTTCTTTTTTTTTTTGACCAGTAAGGGGATCGCAACCCTCGGCACGGTGTGGTCTGCACCACGCTCAGCCAGTGAGCGCACCGGCCATCCCTATATAGGATCTGAACCCGCAGCCTCGGCACTACCAGCGCCACTCTCCCGAGTGAGCCATGGGGCTGGCCCTCGCCTGAGGCTTTCTGAGGTCGCCCAATCGCAGGCCACATGAGGAGGGGATTAGAGTATAACACCCTCCCAACTGGCAAGGAGCTTTCAGACCAAAGAAGGAAGCAGGCAAACTTGTAGATTTACAAAAAGTCTTACTGGGGGCTGGCCAGTTAGCTCGGTTAGAGTGTGCCCTTGTAACACCAAGGCCAAGGGTTCAGTTCCCTGTACCAGCCAGCTACCAAAAGTTTTATTGAAAGGGTAACTTATGGAGAAAAGTTGCACACAAAGAATCAGATGTGAACTTTCTCTGGCTTGTAGGTAAAGCTTATACAGCATAATTTCGAATAAATTAAGAAATTTGTGATGCTCGTTCAGTCTGGCTGACACCAGGGGTTGCAGTAAATCACCTAGTCCCTAAACCCTATGTTCCCGTTATGCTTTTCCTAAGGTTAATCTGTAACAGGTCAGCGAAACAAAAGAATGAGGTTAAACAGGAGTCAGTATGGTGGGTGGGGCACAAGACGGCCTTAGTCCTGCTCCACTTCTAGTAGCTGCAACTGTATCAGCGTCTACTTCACATCATAGCTCTAAACAGACTGTCTTCAAGATATCTAACAGAAATTCACTCTTTCAACTAGAAAAGAATTGGATCAAAACAAGAATGTCTGCATTTCTAGAGTAAGAAGGGTCAGACGCTCAAGCCGTCTCCTAAGGGCATTCTTTGAACCTTATAAGGGTATAAGGCATTCTGATGATAGAGCAAGAAACAGTCTCCAACTCAAACTTCTGTATGACTTTTATATCATATTACATTGTTGTATAATAGGAACAGAAATAGAACTCATGTACTATACTTAGCATTTTTTAAAAAATTGGCCACTTAAATGACTTAACCCTGTGTGGTGGTAGCCCCCTGCCCATGTCTACATCCTAATCCCTGTGAATATTGTTACCTTTACGTGGACTTTCAGATGTGATTAAGGGTCTTGCTCTGATGAGATTATCCAAGTGGGCCCCTTCTCAAGGGTCTCAAAAAACAGGAGTTGGGAAGACATCAAAGGAAGCAGAAGCTGGAGTGACGCAGGGCCATAGGCCGAGGAACACAGGCAGCCTCCAGCAGAAGAACAGGCAGGGAAATGTTCTCCCCTAGAGCCAGAAGGAACACAGCTCCACCGCCCTGTTTTGGACTTCTGACTTCCTGAATTATGTTTTATGCCTCTAAGTTTGTGTCAATTTGTTACAGCAGCAATAGGAAACTAATATACCCTCTAACAAGTCGCTACTCACAACTTGAAAAACACGCTGCAAAAAATGTTCATTTTACAGATGAGCAGCTTGAGTCCTAATATAGCTTGTCCAGAACGTCATAGTCCCTTGATCAGAACTAGAACTTCTCATCTACAAGTCACAGGTCTGGATCAAGGTCACCTGGGCTTGCCACAGATGCTAAAGCAGAACTTTGAGAATGGAAAGTTAAACTGGCATGGAGCAGCTGCTGGGATGAACACCTGTTTCCATGGTAGCCTAGAACAAGTGTAATGAGCAGTTGTTCAGAGTCGTGTTCTCAGCTTTTGAAGGTACACATCCTGCTGTATGTGGGGGAGGCAGCCTAATCAGAGAGGAACTATGTGGGAGGGGTTGAGCTCAGTCCTGACAGGTGGCTCCACTCTAGTTTTTGCATTTTCTCTTATACATAGTGATGGGCAGTAATTGTAATACGGGGGCCAGGAATAGAATGAAAGGGCTTTGGGACTCTAATACTCTTTTGGACAGTTCTGATGGTGGAGGTTGAAGAGGCTGGGAATGAACTTGGGTGCCGTGGAAGCCACTTCTAATACATTTTTCTTCCCTGCCCTGTTCTGCTTCAGGCAGTTCTGCGGGATGTGTAGGGCTCTAGAACAGGAGCTGGGTTTATATTCTGGATCTACGTCCTCCTAGCTATGTGACCTTGGGTAGAAGGAACAATCTCTGAGCCTGTTTCCACATCTGTGAAATGGGAATGCAGCATGTGAGGGCTGGATGAGGTAAGTAATGTACTGGCGTATGCGTTGTCCAGTCAGCGCTGGAGCATCTAAATACCAAGAAAACAGCACTGTTTGAAGAATTCTAAATAAAACCTCAGATAATATTGTGAACAATAACTGTAGGTTAAATAAAACTATGTGCTAGGACAGAGGTTCATAATCAGGCACATATTTTGAATGGTGTCTAAGTGCATTTAGGCTCTTTGGGAGGCTAAATGATGGCCCCAAAGATACTCATGGGCTAATCCCTAGGACCTGTGAATGTTCCCTTATATGGCAAAAGGTGTTGGCATGGGGAGGCTATATTCACAGGGGGTTGGCATGGGGAGTTTATCTGGATCATCCAGGTGGACCATAAATACATTCACATGCATCCTTGTTAGAGGGAGTTTGGACTACAGGGAAGAGGAGGCAACGTGATGACAGAAGCAGAGACTAGAAACTAGAACATTTTGACGTCAGAGCAAGGGCTACAAGCCACGCAATATAGTGGACACTAAAAGCTGAAAAAGGCCAGGGAGTGGCTCCTACCCTAGATCCTGAGAAGGAACCAGCACCACTGACACCTTGACTTGAGCACAGTGAAATTGATTTAGAACTTCTGACCTCCAGAATTGTAAGAGAATAAATGTGCGTTGTTTTAAGCTGCTAATTTTTTGATAATTTGTTACAGCAGCAAAACTTGAGCACAGTGAAATTGATTTAGAACTTCTGACCTCCAGAATTGTAAGAGAATAAATGTGTGTTGTTTTAAGCTGCTAATTTTTTGATAATTTGTTACAGCAGCAAATGGAAACTAATAAAGGCTCCTCCGATGATCCTGACACATACCCCTAGACAAAGGCAGAGGCTACCAAACTTCATCAGAGAGGATGTGTTACAAACATACATTGTTGCTGGCAAACGGGGTCTAAGAGCATGGAGAGCAGCTTGTACTCTCAGGAACTTGTCAGATTCAAGTTTCCACCAACTTCATTTCTAGACAGTGATACATCCTAGTTGAAAAGAGGAATTGCTGAGAATACAGGTCCCATCCTGACACAGGGCATTTTGGTTGTCTCCTGCTGAGGTATGAAGATGTGAATTACCTCCTATAGCAGCTGCTACTGTGGCAATATGCAGAAAATCCGTGGCACCACATTGCTTCTGATTTGCACGTGGTGGTGCCTGGAGAGAGAAGCTACATCACCATGTGCAGGGCAGGGCAGTGGAAGACAGAACACACAGTGCCCTGCACGACGTGTGTGTTCGGGCCTATCTATCACATTCATGGTGTTATGGGCTGAATTGTTCCCCCCAAATTCACATGATAAAGCCATTACCCCCAGTGTGATGTACTTGGAGGTGGGGCTTTTGGGAGTAATTAGGTCATGGGGATGGAGCCCTGATGAAGGGATTAGTGCCCTTCCAAGAAGAGACATGAGAGCTGGCTCCCTCACTCTCTGCTCTCTGCCATGCGAGGATACAGTGAGAAGACAGCCACCTGCAAACCGGGACACAGGCCCTTTCTCCAAATTGTCTGTTTATATCCTTTGTCTA